TGCAAATTCATATTGAAATTTCACCACATGAAATTCAAAATTTTGAAAATAAAAATGTGCAAATTGTTCTATTTTTAAATCATAATCTTTAGAAAAAGTTGATCATGAATTTATTCATAAAAATACATCCATGAATTAAAAAATGGAGATTTTAAAAAGGATTTTTTTAAAATACTCGTGAGATTAAAAACTATCACAAATTTGAAAAAAAGATAGCGAGTTTGAAAAAATATTCACAAATTAAAAAAATGTTCATCTCTATCGCAGTTGGCTGAAAAATAACTTACGGTTGCGACCCCACTTCATTCAATCATATAGTCGGGTTCCAATGCTTGGAGTTACATGTCTACTAGTGGACATGCAACTAGCCGGACAACCCCCATCCCGAACCCAATTGTTGTATCTTTGCACCTAGTGCAATTGAGGCTGACTTATAATGTTTGCAGTTGCATGTCTAGTGTTAGACATGCAACTGGCGCGACAAACCCCCATCCCGACCCTAGTTGCAGTCTCTTTGCACCCAATGCAATTGCAGTCATGTTTCAATGCTTGAAGTTGCATGTCTAGTGCTGGACATGCAACTGGCCCACAACCCCCGTCCCGACCCCAGTTGCGGTCTCTTTGCACCCAGTGCAATTGCAGCCGAGTTACAGTGTTTAAAGTTGCATGTCTAGTGTTGGACATGCAATTGGCCCGACAACCCCCGTCCCGACCCAAGTTGCAGTCTTGTTGCACCCAGTGCAATTGGAGTCAAGTTACAATATTCGCAGTTGCATGTGTTAGTTTTGGACATGCAAATGGCCTGACAACCCTCGCTCGACATCAGTTGTACTCTCTTTGTGGCCATCAGTCACAGTTGGGTTACAACACTTGCAGTTGCATGCCTAGTGATGAACATGCAACTGGCCCCGACAACTTACCTTTCGATCCCAATTGCAATGGCTTTGTGCCCTTGCAGGTGCAATCAAGTTATAACGCTTGCGTTTACATGTCTCATAATAAAAGAAAGAATTCCTCACAGTTACACAGGTGACAGCGCTTGAAATTGTGTGCATGTTGTCATGCTTGCAGTTGCGCTCTAGGTGTGATGCTTAACAACAACAACAACAACAACAACAACAACAGCAACAACAATAACAACAACAACAACAACAACAACAACAACAACAACAACAACAACAACAACAACAACAACAACAACAACAACAACAACAACAACAACAACAGAGAAAATGAGAAATAAAAAACAAAATGAGAAAGGGAACATGAGAAAAAATATGAACTTGCAAAAAATTAGAACAACAACATAAACCAAAATTTTCAATGAAAAAACAGAAGAAAAAATATATCTGAAACCATACTTTCTTTCACTCTCACTTTGATTCTAGAATGCATCTAGTTGTCATCTTCTTTGTGAGTCAAACACGTGAATAATGATAAGCATAAAAAAGAAAACACAAATGCGAGAAAAAAACCGGGAACACAAAAATAAAAGTACAAAAAAATATCTTCTAGTACATTTAAAAAATTAACCAAATTTCATCTGAGTAGACATTAGTTAAAAACATCTTTACATATTCTGTCCCAAACAAAAAATGAAGACAAAAAAGTGAACAAATATAGAAAAAGGGAGGTAAAATAGAAAGTTAGATAGGAATAATGGATAAAACATAAAACAGCAAAGAAAACCAAAATGCAAAAAAAAGTCGCTTGTTCCCTTATTATCTCTCGTGCACACCTGTAGCCTAGGACAAAAAGAAAAAAGAACGAACCCAATATCATGTCACACCTAATCCCTGCTTAGTGTGATTCAGAGCTGCCAAGTGGGCCCTGCCAACTGGCAGCCAACCGGCGTGTGTAGTGTGCGTTTAGAAAAGGCCGCATGTGGCCGCGAGCGAGGCATGCGTGCGTTGACAATTCTTGTATCCCAACCTTTCTCTGCAATCTCACCTGCTCTCTCCTCCTTTCCAAGCAACGCTCGCCTCTCATCTCTCCCTCTCGATCTCGACCCCCTTCCTCCTTACTGGGTTCGTTACAGCTGGTATTCATAGACAATTTCGCCGAAATTTTTCTCCCTTGTGTCTGATTGAGGATCGGTAACATCCACATCGCCGGTGCGTGCTGCTCCGGCAAGCCGCGCAAAATCCGCCGCGGGGTTCGATCCCCTTCAGCCAAGACCACGGCTCCATCCAAGGCTTCGACGGCGATGCAGCAGGTGCTAGCCGCCATGGACGAGGGAAACACCAGCATCACCAAGATGCTCGATGCCCTGCTCCCCAAGGTCGACGAGCAGAAGGCGGCGCAGGACACGCAGATCGAGCTGTAGGCCACCTTCAATGCCCAGATCTCGTAGGAGGTGCGCGGTCTCTCTCGTCAGATCGATCTGACCCACGCGGACCTCGATGCCACGCGCAAGACGGTGGAAGGGTCGGCCTCGCCTACGGTTTCGGTCACCACGCTCCTTCACCAGCCCGCCCAGCAATAGCAGCACCCCCCTCCACCACCACCGCCCCCGCCTCCACCGTCACCGCACCCAGTTCCCAACCCATCTCGCTCGTCCTCGTCCCACGTGCGCTTGGGCGACCGCCGTCCGCCGCTCATCCCGGTGCCTCCGCACGGCGGGTTCGTCGCCGCGGCGACTACTCTCCAAGGGGCTATCACTCCAACAAGTACCACAAGCCTCCCAATCACGACTTCTCCAAGTTCGATGGAACAACACCATACTTGTGGCTGGATCGCTGCGTCGCCTACTTCGAGCTCTACAATGTGGCCTCACACCATAGGGTAGCCACGGCGGCGCTCTACATCGACGGCCAGGCCGCGCACTGGATACAAGCGTACCAGCAGACGCACCACAACATCACATGGGATCTCTTTACCACGACGATCCTGGAGGAGTTCAGCGTAGACGAGTTCGAGATGGTGATGCATAAGCTTCTCCAACTCCGGCAAACGGGCACCGTCACCGAGTACCGTGCAGCGTTCGACGAGTAGATGTATCACCTCCTCGCGCTCGACCCATCGATCAACATAAGATTCTTTGTCACGCAGTTCCTCCTCGGCCTGAAGGACGAGTTGTGAGCTCCGGTGCGCCTCCAGGCACCCTCCAGCATCACGCGCGCCTCAGTGCTCGCACACATCCAGGAAGAAGAAACGGGCACAACGCGCGCGCGTCCTCGCATCACCCCATCCGGCCGACCGCCTCCAGAAGCACCAACACCACAGCGAGCCGCAGCCGCCCCGATCCGCGCCCAGGGTGACGAGTTCGCACGAGAGCGGCAACTGCGCGATTTTTGTCGCGCCAACAACCTCTGTTTCAAGTGCGGGGATTGCTACTCCAGAGAGCATCGTTGCACCCAGCCTGCGCAGCTACTCACCATCAGCGTCGGGGACCATGGCGAGGTTCTCTCGGACGACACCATACACGCCTTGCAGTTGCTCGACGACCCAGGACCGGCAGCGCAATTGCCCGCACCGGTCGTGGACACGCCGGAATGCCGCCTCCTCTCGTCGCAAGCGCTCGGCGGCACTGACTCACCGACCACAATCCGGCTGCGTGCACTGGTGGGAAACCAAGTCATGCTGCTGCCCCTCGACTCGGGCAGTACTCATAGTTTTGTGAACAAGGCCTTTGTCGATAGCCTCGGCCTCGCCACGGAGGAGAGACCCACGGTGGAGGTGCGCGTGGCCAATAGGGACAAGCTCACCTGCAACCGCATTGTGCCCGGCCTCAAGTGGTGGATGCAGGGCCATACTTTCGAGATGCTCATGCATGAACAGGAGA